AGTAAATGGGAAGAAATAAAACAAGCACGTTAGTTAATCCTCTTGGAGATTTTGCGTTTTTAATTTACCTTGCTTCCTATATCCAAATATGAGTTCACAAAAATTGGACTTAGCAACTTTTCACTTCAATCTAGCCATATGTTAATTAGATGATAATAAGTCTTGCTTTGTAGGACTTTCTTTTCAGTGGCCACCAACATATGTGTATATATTTTTTTCAAAATTATTTAAAATCGCTGCCATTGAAAAACCAAATCATGTTGCTTTTTTCGTCCGTCGATTTTAGAAACGGTTCGGAACTATAGAAAAGGGATACAGAGCGAATTAGATCCCATCTGTCGCATTTGGTCTGGTTCGGTACCATTAAAAAAGGAATGCAGCGAGGGGCATTGACACTTCGTAGAACATTGCAAGGTTGAATTCGACAGTTGCTGACATGCAAAAGAAAATTAACGCACCTAGTAATGGTTCTATATTCTCTAGTAAAGAACCATTTCGGCACTAGTGCGTTTCCCACAAAGGGTAAGCACAATGACTTAGATCATTTTCAAAATTATGTAGGCTGAACTACAGGAGGAACATCAAATTGCTCGAAAACTCGAAATAAAACTGTGTATTTATTATCTTTCGAAAATCTTGTGTACAAACAAAAAATANACTACACAGCAAAAACAGGTCTATTCCAGTGAACGCGTCGTTTACAAGCGCTAACCTTCACTTATTCGGTTACTCAACTCCACCCGATTACGCATTGCAGCCTGAGCACTGACACGCATAATTAGCTTGAAGTCGGTTAGTTCGCCGTTTCTGAGTGGCAACCATTTGTTTTGCTTATGCAATTGCATAAATCTGCAACAATGGTAGTATTTTCAACAATTCAACGCCATCAAATGCACTACATATTTCAAAAATATAATATAAATTATCAAACTTATGAAAGCGATTTGAAGAGGTAAAACTTTAGTAAAACACAAAGTCCTCGAAAACACCATAGAAAAAAAATGTTCGCAGAAAAATGTTGAAGCCGCCGAGAAACGAAATCTTTTTACTACCCTGTGTGCAAATGAGATTCAATCCGTGAAATGAATTAAGCAAAAATAAATACCGAGTTTTTCTTGCCAATGCGACAAAAAAAATCTAAAAAATTAACGGTAATTCGTAGCTACTTGAAATTTGCACATTATCAGACTAAAATTGCAGGGGCTAAAAAACTGTGTACTCAAAAAAATTCTAACACTTCCGGGAAAAAAGTTTCAAATTTAGGTGAAAATTTGTTACCCTTTTTTGTAGTTTTCTACAAATTGTTGAACTTGGGTATATATGGGGTTTGTCTGAGAATGAACTAAATTTTAATTGAAAATTCTTAAAAATAAGTAAATGAACATAAGGGGCACACAATATCACTTGGAAATGGCGTGCTATAGATATGACCGATACTGTATGTACATATAAATATATGTATTTATATGTTTCTATTGAAGACCGATAAGTTAAAAATTTTTTCACTTCTCGTAATTTCCTACTGGGTTGCTCATGCGGAGCAGTTCTCTTGTTCTCACCAACACAGTCACAGTTTAACTTTTGCCGACCACTGATCTAAATGCTGCTGTTATTTTGGCGGTAAGGGCTCGATATGCATTTAAATCAATTTTAGTTGTTTTTAAGGCTACCAACTTCAATTGAAAACCCTTAAAATCATCAATCTGGGAAAACTGAGAAATTGCTTTCAGAAAAACTTGGTTTCATCAATTCCCCAGCCAACTGCCGAACATTGTAATTATTATCAACTCTGACATCCACGATATTAAGGGAGCCAATTTTGATTTATCGCAATTATCAAGGCAACACTGTACAAGCTCATAGTTAAATGTTCAATTCGTACTAATATTGGATATTGTTTTTATTTGTGAATGTATTGATGCATTTTTACGACTCACCTGTGCACAAAATGCTGTAAAAATTAATCCAATGAGTAAGTTTCGTTGTAGTTGCAAATGCTGCTTCTGTTGTTTGCTGCTTGTAGTTTTTTGTATTGTTTTTTGTTGATTTTGCTTTTGTATTCGATAAGTTGTTTGGATACTCGCTTCGAATTCGCCAACTCCANCTTCTGTTGTTTGCTGCTTGTAGTTTTTTGTATTGTTTTTTGTTGATTTTGCTTTTGTATTCGATAAGTTGTTTGGATACTCGCTTCGAATTCGCCAACTCCACACGAAGTGGCTGATTGTGTTGGTGCCATATTAATTTTTGTTGCATTTGTTGTTGGTTTTGCGGCAACCTTTTTAGCAGACAAGTCGTTGCTCATTTTGCTGGCTGTCATTTTCAGGCGTACGACCAACACTTTTATTCACTTTTTAATAGAACTGATTTTTAATTTATTATATTTTTTCTTTTTGTGTTGGTATAATTTTTGTAGTATCTACGTACGTATTTAGGTATATAATTTCACTTTTTATGGATACATACATTTGTATGTACATATATTGCCATTAATAATACGTAATGCAATTTTTGTAGATTTTCGTCGATTTTAAGTAAAGGTTATTGAAGTCTTAAGCACGTCCACTTTCATGATTACGCGAATTTCAACTGGTTTTTAGCACAATTTTAATTTTAAAACCACATTTCTCACTTTTTGATATGTGTATAAAATTCGTTATTCAACTGCTAATGGCGATAACAAATAAAAATATGTAAGTACGTAAATAAAAATAAGCTTAGTATGTATGTACATATATGCCCATATTGAAATATCCAAACACTATGTATTACTCCAAAGTAGTTTTTTAACGTCTCAAGCTCTGCGCAAAATGAGTCAGGAGAGAGTGCTGTCTTTATATCACCAACATTTCATTCGCACAAGTATGAGAGTGGCGTTTTTATGGTTTCACATTTTAAGCCTCTCATTTGCCAAGCAACTACTTTTACTGATCAGTCGCTTTTGCAATCTTGCACATACATACATATCTAGGCTCGACTGAGCATTTTATTTACTTCAGCGCGATTATATGTAATATGTATAGCAAAAATGTATGTAATTGAATTCCATCAGTTGCAGTACAAAACCCTAACTACGAACCAAGAGAGGACGACAAAAGTATTGATCGCAAACGTCAATCTGACTGTGACAGTAGTTGTTAAAACCACTCACAACCCAGGCGACGATATTAGGTTTGTTCCACACGCTTTCCGGGCTGTTTTGGTAATTAGAGCGTAAAAATAAGTTACTCTCTCTCAAGTGCCAAAAATGTGTCAACCCGCGCCAAAAGTGCCTAGAGCAATAGAAACGCGCAAAACCACTTTTCGTGTTCGGAATCAACAAATCAGTTCTAAACAGTGATTTTTATGTGTATTTATCTTATATAGCTCATAAAATTAGGAAATACCTACATTTCTGAACCTTTAGTGCTATTTTCCATTTTTGTATTTTACAAAATTTGCTATCGCATGTAAACAAACAACGGCTGTTATCTCAAATTAACTTGCGCATTTCTATCCGGAAAAAACTCTGGGCTGTTTCGGGCGCGAAGAAGAAGACATTTACGATCCAAAAGTGGAAGGTATTCGCTCTCTATTACCCACTTTTCTAGCGTGAGGAACGTTTTAGGGGCTGTTTTTGGCACCCGGGCTCGTATGGAACAAACCTATTCTCTAGTTCGTTCTCTTTTCTCGCTCTTTGAATCGTTAACTTTGAATTTTTTTAATAGTATTTACGTTTACTACACGTATGTATGTTTGTATGTATGTTCCTATGTATGAGTGTGTACTTATTCAACTATAAATGCATAGTATGTGAGTATACGCAGATTTACCAGTTAACTGCTTGGCATTCCAATAAAAAATTCAACGAGTCACAAATTATTTATTACGTACATATGTACATATTAACTATATATATGTAAATATAAATAATTATTTTGTTGTACTTTTTTACATATTTATTAGTTATTTGCCTATAATAAGTCCTACTTAGCGCGTGATTGTCAGCAATTGCCTTGGTTTTTAGTCTAAAGTGTGAATAAATATTTTACTATTCAATAAGTTATGTGGCTTAGATTTTTTTATCAAAGCAAATTAGTTTTTTCTTCATTGGACCCTCTATATTCTTTGTAGCGTTTCTATTAGTGGTGCCCTTTGGATGCGGCATATTTTGGTTCAAGAGTTTCGATCTCACATAGGTCAGCTTTTTGCTTGCAGAAAGTATCCTAAAACGGCGTTTCCACGACAACCGAATCACGTGGTTCGCTCTCTCAATTATGACCAACCTGTTTACACGACACATTCGTGATTCACTTTGCATCTCTGCTTCTGGTTCTTTGCTTTTTCTTAATGTTTAATGTGCTGTTTATTGTGCATTTCAAAGGTGGAGAAAAAATCTGCAGTGGTTAATTAGCTAAATCAATAGTTTTAACGAATCTAGCTATTTTTTCAATGTTTTGCTGGTGGGGATGTGTGTGGTCTATGTGTTTTGACAGCCGTTATCGATAAAAATTAGAGAAGACAACGATTTGTTCTTGATTCGCACGTTGATTCGATCTGAATCACCTACGAATGAAGTGATTCGCTCTCAAAATTTTGTATGGCGAATTATGTGATTCGGTTCGTAATATGGGCGCCAATCACGAATGAGAGAGCGAATTACGAATGGGAGAGCGAATCACTTACCGTGGAAACATCGTTTAGAGTGCTGTAAGCAATCTGCCATAATGTAGTACGTATCAGGGATGGAAAATGATATTTTACAATTTAACTTAATTTGGGGAAAATCTTAACCAAAAAGCAAACGAATGTACCTAAAAGATTAGTACTTACATACATATGTACATTTTGATACACAGTTAACATCACGTAAAATTTGTTTAACAGTGCGAAACTACGAAGCTCTACGTTAAGCTCTGTTCAAACTGGAAGGACCGTTCAAGGCCAAACAAAGTTTCAAACAAGGCGAGACATTATCCTGCGTCAACCATTGTCTAAGTGCTGCACCAATTTGGCACCATTCACTGGCAGCTCTGTTGACGATACTTCTGAAACATTTGTACGCCCAAACCCTCCATATAATCCCGGCACTCACATTCGCTAGGTGTGTTGGCATGTCGCCAAAATGTTGATTCAACTGAGATATTGACAAAATAGCCTCGTTCAAAGTTAAAAATGTTTCAGGAGAGCAAAAAACATATTAAATGCTTTCCACGACATAAGTTTATTACAATGCACATTAGGCCAAATGATTCATTTGGCTGTGCGAAAGTCCAATTTCGTAAGGGCAGTTTTACATTATTTTTTTGTTGCCATTCTAGGCAATACACCAAAATAACATAATCTTCACTTTGTTTTTGTAAAACAAAAAACACCATTAGATAGCAATAAACCAAAGTTACACTTTCAAAACGTTATTGACACGTTGTTTGCGCAACCCGTTTATTTGGTATGTTTCAAGTGCATTTTTTTTTAAAGTTCGAATAACTAAAGTAATATTTTAAATGGAAAACAAAACTATAAGTGATAGCTTATGTCCCAATTTAAACAAGTGACTTTTTTATCATTTGTTTGCAAAAAAAACCGACTTATTTGCATAACCTCAACAATTTTCTGATTTATTTCAATTTATGATTTTATGTAAGCTTTTACAATTTTGTTAACTTTCGGTAAACGAAATGGAAAAGGAAATTAAGATGTAATGATTTGATTTTATTTTCTTAGCCCGCCGTTTTTAGCCATTTTCAAGAAAAACGGTTTTTTCTGGGCTATCATGCTATTACAAACGGTGAGTTGTTTGAAGTTTGGCTGATTGGGTGTTCCAAAAAAGAAAAGCTTTTTTCGGTTGTCAACCATTTTGAAAAAAATTTGGTGCTGCTGATATTTGCGAAAGTTCCATAAAACTTGTACTTTTTGCAATTTTTTATCAAAGAAAGACGAAAATTCTGGAAAGCAATTCGGAAAGGATGCTAAAATATTTAGATCTGAAAACATAGCGTTTCTTGCTGATGAAGTTCCGGATTCTAACTTTCTCTATCGCTAAAATGTTAAAATACGAAAGCTAAAATATTTCCGAATTTTCAGCTATCTTCAAAAATTGCGATTCTGTCCTCCCTTTCGCTAAAAATACCTTTGCCTAAATTTTTTGATGATAAATAGTAAATTTTAATGGTGATAAATAGTGAAAATGGAAGTATATGATAGCAAAAAAAATAGCAGCGTTAATTTGGATTACATTTCACCTCCTGTAGCCTAGCCATGGCTATGTTACAAAGACACTTGCGCCGATTCGAAAAGACCATTGATGAGCAGCCTTCGCAAAAAGACAAATCCTTGAGAAAATTTACGGATTGAAATTTCAAATTTTTTTACTCAAAGTGAACAAATCTTTGAATATTCGTTTCAAAAATATTCGTATTCTTTTCAGGAAATTACCATCGATTTTTGGTAAATGTGTCACAAAGCAGCATTTGCATTCTGAATATAAATAATATCGGAGGATTTGGGAATACTGAAACCTCAAATGAAAATTAAGTGTTTTATGAAGACTAACTGCTTTAGAAATCTCTCCTCAAGGCATATCTGCGAGACATGCAGTAAATATTTTTCTTTTTATACCCGAGCGCACTTGTGCACAAGGGTATTATAACTTTGTTCACATAACGGTTGTTTGTAACAGGCAAAACGAATCGAGATAGATATAGACAAATGTATACATAAATGATCAGAATGAAAAGAGAAATCGATTAAGCGGTGACTGTCTGTCCGTCCGTCCGTCCGTCTGTGCACACGATAACTCGAGTAAAAATTGAGATATCTTAACGAAACTTGGTACGTGCACTTCTTTCGGGCGTAGGACGGATGGTATTGAAAATGGGCGAAATCGGACAATAACCACGCCTACCTCCCATATAACGGTAATTTTTAAAAATACGAAAACTGCGATATTTTAGTAACTACTGAAGATTATTCACTCAAAATTGATATTTGCAATAATTTTTAGACGAAAAATAAGAATATTATACATTTTTTGAAAACGGGCGTAGTCACGCCCACTTATGGATACATTTGCATATCTTGGTAACCGCTGCACCAATTTTTTCCAAACTTGGTACAGTTGCATACCAAATGGCCGAAAATTTTTAAAATCGAACAATAACCACGCCTACCTCCCATATAACGGTAATTTGAAGAAATACGAAATCTTTGATAAATCAATAAATATTAAAGATAATTTACTCAAAATTGATGCTTGCA